TGAAGGGTAAACAAAGGAGGAGGCTGCAATGCTTGGTAAGAAATGTACGCATTATCCTGCCCATGCAATTGTAACCCCTCTGTACAGTATTTTCACAAATAAAAAAAAAAAACATGTACGTAGATTTTGAGAGCCTTATTTGTAATAGTCCAAACTAGAAAACCCAGCTATCCTTCAATTGGCACATGATTTAAATTAGATGTATATTCAATGCTACTGAATAAAAAGAAACAATACATTCGACAAATCATTCTGGATGAAAATGATAATCCGTAAAGGCCATTTACAGTGTAATTTTCTTATATTGCAATAATAAAAACAGATCTGTGAGTACTTGAGAATTGGAAGTCTTTGTTATTCTGAATATTTATGAACTGTTTTAGGGATTATAGCAAAATTGAGGGGAAGGTACAAACTTTTTTTCCTGCCGCACTCAACATTTTATTCTGTAGTAGTATATCTGTTGCAATTCATTACATCATTATATTCTAGTGTCCACCATGATTCATTCTTGGTATAGTGCAGGCACATGGGTTTGAACAAATCTATGCTGACATGTATCCACCAGAACATCACAGCAAGTTTTGCTTCTTTGTGAACTGCCTATTCATCCGATCTTCTTACTGACTTCTGTTTTTCCCTTTTCTGGAGTGTCATGTGATTAGAATTGTGTACGCACTTGGCATTGTCATATATAACCTGAAATTTTCATTAGTAACATACACTTAAAATTCCTTTCTACATGTCTTTTACAGCTCATTTCATCTTTTTTTTCCATTGCGAAGACTTACCAGTTTATACTTTCACCCACTGCATTTTGCTTCCCTATTTTGGCAGTTACAAATAAGGTACATATAAGCTTGTGTGCAGGCATTAAGCTTTCATCTTTTTATGCAATTACCAAGGATTACAAATGCTAGGATCATGTACTGATCAAAATATGTTTAATTTGTAAGAAAAAAGAGTTCCTGATTTTCTTCATCCTCACTGCATTTAGTGTTGTCAGAGTTGTAACTTTTGGACATTTTCATGTAAGTATAGTTGGATCTGATTATGAGTTTTTTTTTTTTGCATTTTCTAATGATACAACAGTATGAAGCATCTACTCACATGCTTTGCCATATGTGTATCTTCTCTGGTAAAGTATCTGTTAAAATTGTTTTTGCTGGGCTGGGAAGGTGGCTCAGTGGTAGAGCGCTTGCCTAGCATGCCTGAGGCCCTGGGTTTGATTCCTCAGCACCATATAAGCAAAAAGAAAAAAGCTGGAAGTGGCGCTGTGGCTCAAGTGGTAGAGTGCTAGCCTTGAGCTGAAGAGCTGAGGGA